GTTTAATCTAAAGTTCTGCCTTAAAAATGATCAAGGGGATGTTTTCAATGCAAATGTTACTGGAAACTGTAGCTTGCCATCTTTGGTGCTTTTAATTAGAGATCCAGCAACCCCAGGTCATTTTTCACATTGAAGTCCCTCTCGATAAGGATGTAGGCCTAAGAAATATCAATTTCCTCTCCTCCATCACTGTAGAGTTACGTTTTAGAAGATGCCAACCCAAAATAGGCCTATCTAAAAGTTCAACTGGAATTTGGTTCAATCCTGGGAATTTTAACACTATCATCATAAATACACCCTTGACTATAAAGCACAAACTCAACATACTTAATTTTTATAAATATGCACGCAAAAAACAGAGAACAGAGATCCCTAGAATATTATATCATGGATTTAATTCCATAATGTGTTTAGTTTTCTGGAATTGTTAGAAAAGTGCTAGTGTCTATAGCAGTGTTTCTCAACCTTGGCGACTTTAAGTCCTGTGGACTTCAACTCCCAGAATCCCCTAGCCAACAACTGTCTTGGGAATTCTGGGAGTTGAAGTCCACAGGACTTAAAGTCGCCAAGGTTGAGAAATACTGCCCTAGAAGATCTATTAACAGAAATATTAGTAGTTAATCATACTGCATTGAAATTCTTATTTGTCCCTTGAAAATGTAACCTTTGTAAAGCAAAGTAAGACTTACTGGTAACATTAACATGGTACCTGGGGGTCCAGGTAAGCCATCAGCCCCTGGAAGTCCAGAACGTCCTGGTGGTCCCTAAAACGGAGATTCGGGAAATTAGAAACATCTTAGAGCATGTTTAATTACTGCAGTTGCAAATTGAAAAGTAGAATGCTTGAAATCCAATCTTACGTTCATTTCATCTCATTTCTATAGTTCTTTAATTAAAATTTCCAGAATAGTGTATACATACTTTTGTGTCTTTTAATAAACACATCGCTGTCTCCATTTTCCACTTCATTTCATATGTGGATTCCAGGAACATGTATGTCTTGTGAGTGCTTTCCCACATTGAAGCATGTTTTTTTTTCTACATCTTGTTCTAATACTGTGTATGCATTTCTAGTGTTTCCTTCTTTGAAATAGTTTTTTTGTTTTGTTTTAAAGTTGTGAAATATAAGCCAAAATTTATTAATGTGTGTTTCAGTTCAAATCTGGGTCCAGGAAATGCAAATTAAGAACGTTTACATTCAGGCATTCTTACATCTTTATGTAAAAATGGATGTTAATAGATTTCTCAATAGTTATGAGCCACAAGAATAAAGCACGCATATGCTTAAGAGCAAAACATCTCAAAGCAATTATGAAGAGCTTCCTATAAGAAGTTGGCAAATCATTATTGCAAACAGCTGACTAGTCTTTCTTTAACGTTCATGAAGGTGATGTTAAAATGCCTATGTCCTGAGGATACTTTTTAATTCCTTGAATTATTAAGACAGCATTGCAGGCATATGCCAGAGTACAGATTAAAAATCAGATTATACTCACACATACATTAATCAAAGCTTCCCTAATCACTTCAGTTGCTTATATCCTAAATGTATTTCATTGGCACTGCACAAAACATTGTTACAATCAAACCACAGGTAGCCCTCAACTTGCGACCACAACTGACCCCAAAATTTATGTTGCTAAGTGAGAAATTTGTAAAGTGAGTTTTGTCCCATTTTCTGACATTTCCTGCCACATTTGTTAAGTGAATCACTGCAGTTGTTAAATTAGTGTTGTGACTCAGCAGACGTCTTCTGTGAGTCTTTTCAGGATGCAAGATGACCAATGCAGCTGGGGCTCGTTAGTGGCGTGTTCTGGGGATAAAAGGACGGAGGGTGCCATGCCCTGGTTGCAGGAGTCAACGTTTCTTGGTTCGTTCAACATTGATGGATCATCGGTCGTGGTTTATGTAAGATACACTTGGAGAAGTGCATTGCTTGTAAGAGTTTTTGTTTGGTATTCTGTTATTTAGTCTGAGACTTTATTTATGTTATTTTTGGGCTTGTAGCCTGTCTGAGCTGAGAACTGATAAAGAGAGTTCCTTTTAAGTTGTTTGCCTGTCGTCTGTTATCGAGCGATGAAGGGGGGACAGAACAAATTAGTTACACAGCTGTTAAGTGAATCTGGTTCTACTCATCAGAAGGTTACAAAAGGTAACCACATGACCCCTGGACCCTGCAACCGTCATAAATGTGAGTCAGTTGTTAAGCACCCAAATGTAAATTATGTAACCCTGGGGATGCTGCCACGGTTGTAGGTGTGGAAAAGGGTTGTAAGTCACTTGTTTCAGTGCCATTGTAACTTCAAACACTCAATAGGTGAACTGTTGTAAGTCAAGGACTGCCTGTACACAACACAGAGTTTTGAGGGGGAAATAAACTCAGCTACGATCTTCTTTGCAAGAATAAGCATCAAGTACATACATAAGTATGAATATACAACTCCTGGAGACACACTCAGAATACAAAATTACGGTGTGAAACAGCATGGCAAGGGTGATATTAGCAATGATTTATCTCCTGTGCTCCTTCAATATCTAGGATAAGATATCCTAGAGCAGTGTTTCTCAACCTTGGCAACTTGAAGATGTCCGGACTTCAACTCCCAGAATTCCCCAGCCAGCGAATTCGCTGGCTGGGGAATTCTGGGAGTTGAAGTCCGGACATCTTCAAGTTACCAAGGTTGAGAAACACTGTCCTGGAGCTTATCACTTCTTTATCTGAAAAAGTTGTAGGCAGACTCCAGAAACNCCTCTGGAGACTACTAGGTTTATGCAAAGTCTGTAATCTTGGTTGTAATGGGTATCATTTTATATTGTTGTAAATACACTGGGATAGCTTGGAAAGCGATAGCAACTGCTTAACGGCCGCATTTAAATGAATCATTTTGATTATCTCTGTCAGCAGAGTATCCCTTTCTGTAAAAGAGGAAGCCATCATTAGAAGAAAATTGCCCAGGTAATTTAACAACGGCAGAGCTAGTGTTCTCCTTTTGTCATTTAAACATTTAAAATGCTGGCAAATGTCAAATCTCCATCCAGTGAGTCTGTAATATAGAGGTCTGCAATTTTTGCTCTGCTTGTTTTCCAAACTAGACAACTGGGACATTTCTGTTTTAAACAGGATGTCATTTTAAACTTCAGGCTAAAACTAGAATCTCCAGTATTCTCCTCATTAAATCCTGTTATTTAAACAAAGTTAAATAATGAAGGGAGGGGGAAACCTCTTATTTTGTAATAGGATATAAAGTTCTAAATCATTTTTTTCTCCGATATAAATAAGACAAAAGTGGAGGACATTAACCGTTCAAAAAGTGCAGAAATGGTACAAATTCCAAGGGGACAAATAAACGCATTGAGAAATATGTTAACCATCAAATGCAAAAAATATATATTTAATTTTATGAAGAGAGACTGTGTCCAGGCCAAGGTATATTGGATTCCAGTAAAAAAAAACATATGGAAACACCCTATTCTTGCAGCTGAACCTCATTTTAGCCTTGATTAGAAGACCACACCCTTTATTGAAACCTGGGGATGGAGGTTCATTTAGGAGTATGCAGAAATGTCCAGTTTTGTGTCTTTTTAGTATTTGGCAGGTTCTTAGCATCTGTTGCCTCAGGCAGAAATTTCATTCTCCTTAATATAAGGCTGAGCAGCTCAGAGACTGTATAAATGTCTGTCACATAATTTCAAAATCCCCATAAGTTAGGCTCCCCAACTTCATTTGGCAAAACGCTGAACAACAGAAGAGTGATTTCCAAACAAATTTCAGCGGAGGGCAAATATAAGGGACATATAAACCATCAGAACAGCCAATAATAATTTTTTTTAAAGCAAAACACAAAACGATTGAAAATCCTAGCTCCATTCACTCATGCAATGTTGTTGCACGATTATATCCCCCTCTGAAGTCAATTGCTTCCTAATTTTCTTTCAGAGTGTGTTTCCTTGCTTCTAAAAGGTTGCCTGTCCCCCAAACTTAATGCTAGGGACCGTTCCTAGACAAACAGACTAATAAATCACTCTTATTAAAATCCCAGCCAATTGAATGGCACTGCAACTGAGGTAAATCATTTATGAATCACAACTGAGAGAGACCGCCTCCTGCCGATTACCTCTCTCAGACCAATTAGATCGCACAGGTTGGGTCTCCTCCGGATTCCATCTGCCAGCCAATATCGGCTGGCGACTCCCCGGGGGAGAGCCTTCTCTGTTGCAGCTCCGGCCCTTTGGAACGAGCTCCCTGTTGAGATCCGGACCCTTAGTACCCTCTCAGCCTTCCGCAAAGCCACTAAGTTCTGGCTGTTCCAGCAGGCTGGGGGGGGGGGCTGAGAAGCATCTACCTCCATGGAA